GCCCCCCCCCCCCATAGAATCCACGGAGCCCAACTCCCTGGGGCGCGAGGTGAGAGAACTTTCGTCTTGATTTCCATCAATACAAAGATGGAGACGGTATGGCAAATTTGATCATCATTGCACATCTTAAGTATTTTAAATCCTCAATCTCTAAACAATGAACGAATGTGTACAAACTTAGCAAACTAAATTATTTGAGATGAGCGCGCTTGATGGTGGGAAGAAAAGACCTCTCTGCATCTGGGATCAATTATCGCACGTGCGAAAAAAGAGCGTCATTTTAAAATTGGCGCGCCTCCAACAAGTTGGCGCCTCTTTTTTTGGCGGGATTGTCTCTTTTGACTCTTTTGACCATGTTGAACGGTGACTAAAAAGTGACGGTCGGTGAGCCACGTCAGTCAGAGGAGGTTATGTTTGTTTGTTATTATTATTTCTGTTTACATTTTTTTGGCCGGTTATCTTATCTTATCGAGAACAACTAAGTAATTTTTGGCTCTAGTTAGCCATAATTCTTTCATTTGTAATTTATCTGTAGCTTTTTCAGTAACTGTAATGTAAAACAACAGTTTAGTTAAGTTTGGTTTTAATCGACAGCACACTTCTTACGATGGTAAGTTAAATTCATGATCCATGACAGGATATCAGAAAATCTCATATCGGACTTTTCAGCAATGAGCAACACGATGCATGAACCAATGAATCGGTGATTTCATCTACCTAACAAATTTACAAACTTCGACAAACTCCTTTCCTGTGGCCAAATTGTTACTCACTGCCGCGCTCAGCTACTTGCCATTCTTAATATAATCCGGGAGTAGCAGAATGCTTTATCACTTCTCCATCCTTTAACTGCTTATGCCAGTTGAAAAGATAATGAGATCATATTTTGCAGAAGTTAGGAATGAAGGGAAGCTTTTACAGTAGCAAATAATGTTTAAATTCTTCAGAGTAGCTATAACGTTATTGATGAACCACTGATGATATTTGACTCCGAGAACTTGCAAAGTAGCTCATCAGAAATTATCTTTTGCCTCTCAGCAGGGGCAAGTGGGCCTTGTTAATAATACACCAAAGTCTATGGCAGTCTCTTTACACAATATTGCTTAAGTTTAATCTTTTCTACATCAGATTTCATCAGTGGCTTCGCCTAAATGTATGTATTACATCTAATGAAAGAATACTGAATTAGGACTAATTAGATATGGACATCTTTCTGAACAAAGCATTATTCTGCTTTTATTTGTCAAGTTTGAATGAAAAACAGGTACAAGTTTCGAATTAAATTTAATTTTTAGTGTTTGGATGACGTATGTAAACCAACCTGTTGCTCTCTGAAAATATCTTTGAAACACATTTTCCTAGATTTTTTTTATTTCTAAGGCTTTACAAAATCATGATTTACATCCACCTGCAATAGAATCAAGGGAGAAACCGTTTTTTTGAGACCTCAGAACTCCCAAGAAACTTGATGCCAGATAATGCAGTTTTTTTAAAATTGATTAATTTCAATGTCCTATCGCCTTTTGTATAAAATGACTCAAAACAAAATTGGGGAAATATGTCAAAACCAAAGTTTCAACAATTAAAAAACAAAGTCAACTTAATGTTAAAACTTTATCTGGCCTTAATTTGTTTCCTTTTCAGGATCTCGCAGCATTTTCTGAGGATAATTTTGATCCGAAAGAGTGGATCAACAAAACTTTCAGAAACGCTGAGTCTCAGGTTTCGAAAGAGGTGAGCATCAATGTTTCAAAGTATATAGAATGTAAAATTAACGTTCAGAATAATTTTATGTACAAATTTTTCAAACTGTACCCCATGATTAGTTATATTGCATTTTTCTTATGGAAAATGATGTCTAATTTAACAAAATGTGTCCATTGTTATGTATCATGTGACCTAATGTTCTTTTCATTTTTACATGGAAAAATGCTCTCTTCTCAACAAAGGGTAAATGGTTCATATTTTAAAGATATTTCTTTACGTTCCTATACTGAGAATGTATGTGGGACATGAAACTCCCAAGCCAAGTGTCAAGTTCGGTTCCAAGTTCGGTTTGCAATGTTGCAGACTTACCGTCATACTTCATTTTTTAAATGGATAATTACCCAAGGGCAAAATTTCGGAAATGATGTTGATTTCTTCTCCTTTAAAAAAATGACATAGGCTCAGAGATTTTAAAACACCGCAAACGAGATATATAGTTTGAAAGTTTCACTGTTGATGTACTTTTCTTGCAAGTAGAGGAGCTTAATTTTTTTTTGTCTAAAACCTCAACTAATTGAACAATTTTGATATTATTAATTTCCAGGCATTTGTCCGGAACATGGTAAAAAAATTACAGCTCTATGTGCAACAAGTTAACTGTTCTCTAGAGGATACTAGCCAGCAAGTGCTAGCAAGTCTGCCACGTGTTTCTCATGAAACAGAAGTGTTGTGTCACGAAGCTCGTTCTCTGCAAAAGAAGCTCCAAGAAGTTGAGGGCGAAATTTCAAAGGTATCTTTCCATTCCCTAAACAATTCTCTAAGCACAGTTAGCTCAATAAATACCTCAATAAAGGAGTTTTTACTGAGGCTGTTTTAATTTAACCATTCAATCTTTTGTGAAATTATATGAAAATAACGATAGTGCCTTTGGCTTTCTCTAAAGTCAAATGTCTATACATTCAAACATAATCTAAAAAATCTTCACTTATTCTTTTCCTCCGAATAATAATTTTTGGATCATACACAGGAAAATTTTTAAAGCATACTTTGAAGTTAAAATGCAGTCACACCTGCAAGGTGCGCTAGAAATTCTAAGTTAAAATTTTTTGGCTGTTTTGTGGTAGAATTGTCCAGTTCTTTTTTTTTTTTCAATTTTTATGTTACCTCTTCAATTGTACTAATTATTTTTTTATCCCTGTATGGCAGGTTAAGAAAAATGCTGGAGATTCCATAGCCAGTCTAGAAGCATTAGATAAAATTAAGAACAAGATGCTAACAGCCAAACAAGCTCTGCATGAAGCTGATAACTGGTCTATTCTGGCTGCAGATATTGAAGAGGTAAGTTTCCAATTTATTAACCTTTATTTAAATTATTTATTTTGTCAGATAGGGCAAATGGTGAGTTGAAAATGATACTTTTATTATAAATCTAATTTTTGCAGAGCGTAAGACACCAACCATACAATTTCTAGGTTTATGGCTGTACCTGAGTTTCTACTCTTTAGATTTACTCACGGAATACTAAGTCATTTGGCGCTGTCTAAACTTCAAGATTTTTTGATGGGGTGTTTTACAACCTCTCAAGTAAGATGAGTTTTTAAAACCGAACTCTCTATCTGCCCAACTTGAGAAAATTGATTTCCACTCTTCAAATAAAGATTCAACTTCTTAATCCAGTCTATATTCTCTCTTACAGTTATTTGAATCTGGTGATGTTGCTAGTATTGCAGAAAAAATTGAAAATATGCAGTCTTCTCTCAATGCACTGACAAGTGTGAGTGACTTTGAAAACCGGAAAATGCAACTTGAGGGCTTAAAGAATAGACTGGAGGCCTTGGTTAGTCCTCAGTTAGTTCAAGCATTCAGCTCTGGCTCTACAGGTAAATCTTACATAATTAAATATCTTCTTCAGTAGCGTAGTAAGTTAAAAAAACAAGAGTTCATATGCATTTTATACAATCACAAGGTTTCCCTCAATAAAAAATTTCCTTCCAACAAAAATTTATTTTTCAAAATTATATTTTTTGTTTTCTTGCCGAAGATATTTTTTTAAAATGTTTTCCCTCTTAGTTTTATTTTATTACATCGCACATGATTGTATAAAAAGGAAGGACCATTATAAAATCGAAACAGAAACATTTTATTCGCCCTTTGCATTTTTTTCAGATGACTCAATGAAGTTTGTCAAAATCTTCAGTGCCATGGACCGATCACCAAACCTGTTGAAGTATTACACCAAGTTTCAGAAAAGTCTCATGTGTCAGAAGTGGCATGATACTGTAAATTCGGAACAAGAGGAAACAGTTGCTGATTGGATGAAGAGCTTCTACTCCTATCTTTTTTCAAATTATCACAGTTTGGTGAGAGTTCATTTTTGAATTGTACGGTTTTTACTCGAAGAAGTGGGAAGGTACCAGAATCAATGTTTTTAATCATATAGACAAAAAACGGATCGCTCTTATACAAACAAAGAATTGGTCAAATCAAGGCTTAAAATCATGGTCCGTTTTATAATTTATGTTAGTTGCCAAGTTTGAGAGAAACTCGCTCACTCTCACAATCATGTGACTCTCCGTAGCTTTTGAATTAAAGTTGTACTGAAAAATTCTTAAAATGATTCCATCTTGGAGGAAATATGCAAAATATTTTGCCGTACATCATTTACATCCGTTCTTGTTCATGGAAAAAAAAATTTTTGCACCAAGAAGCTTCACTGTTTACAACATTCTACCTCGACTCAGAAGTCATTCCCTAAACTGGAATCCTGATTTTTCGATCCTGCTTCTAAAAAATTTCCAGAAAAATTTTCCGACATGTGTTTAGGCCCTTTTTCCTATTGACAGGAATCCTTTTTCCTTTCCTTTTGGTCTGTTTTGTAATGATCTTTTGGAAGTATCCTTCTACTTATTTTTGCTTTTTCCACAGAGATATAAAATAAAATATTGGAATCGTGTTCTTGAAATTCATTTGTTTATTTTTGTTTTTCAGTCATCTTGGGTCACCCAGGTATTTACCCCAACATCGCCCACAGATATGCTTTGCAAGCTTTATGTAGATGTTCACTTAAATTTGCAGCCTAGTCTGAGCTCTTGCATAAGCACAGGGCTTAAGCAGCAGAACCAACAGCTGAACTATCTTATCGAGCTGAAACAGATATCTCAGCAGTTCGCTAATAATATGAAATCTGTTATTTCTGACAGAGGTTTGTATATATGTATAGAAAAATCTTTTTTGTAGAAATCGCTATGAAAAATTTCTTGAGAGCTAATCCCTGGAAATGAATAAAAGAGAATATCTTTCGTTAAGTAGTGTTTCTCCTTTTGAGGTAATAAAAAGAAGTTTTTGCCGAGTGATGGAAACCTAATCAACTAAAATTTCTAACAGCGTTAGCTCTAATTTCACATTTCACAATCAACACGTCGAAACCATGAGCTTTTTACGCCTCAAATGACACAAAATGGACCTACCATCATACAAGGGCACCAAAATAATGTTTCTTTTCATTTTCGAATTGCAAAGAAAAAGTCACATGACAGTTTGAACGAGGAGTAGAAAACATGTTTCTCCTACGTTTAGTGGAGTTATGAGCTAACTTTTGGACAGACCAATTTGTCATCCTGAAGTTCCATACTTGTTTGTCAACTCCCAGCGCCTGTTGCATCCTAAAATTAAATGAACTCATTTAAATGCAATTAAGTGCCGAAACCCAAAACAAATTAAATTTTTAAATATCTAGCAAACTAGTTTTTGTATGGATGAAGGGAAGGGCAAAGACCCCCCCCCCCCAATCTTCTCTCTTGTAACCATTAGATTCTAAATTTCATAACTACAATTTTATGATTCTATAATTCTGTGGTCTTTAATGCTTTCTTTTCGTATTTTTAGCAAGTTTAGAGTCGATTTACTCTGTAATCTATCAAGTCTACACTCCTTTCACAAGTGACTATGCAAAACTGGAGAAAGATGTTGTAGAACAGGAACTATCAAAAATCAGCTCAGAACGAGACGACTTAATGGACGTCATCCAAGGTTTCAGTCAAAATATTTCAAGCGTGATGACTATTGCAAATAATGTAGAGTCGCGCTGTTATCAGTTCTCCAACTGTGCTGTCTTCTCCCAGTTGGTTCAAGTTCAGTCGGTAAGTGTAAATAACAACACGTGCAGAAGTTGACTCCAAATGTAATTGTCTTTCAGAAAAGGCGCTCCAGTACTGCAGCTCATAGTTTTTTCCCTAAAGTTCCCCAAAGATGTTAAGAAAAACTGAAACAGAAAAGTGCTCTTTCAGCACCTAGCATCTCAGTTTTTGTCAAGTTGGTTCGAATAAGAAGTTCGAAAAAAAAGTTCAGAAGTTAGTTATCAGCGGTGATCAGCAAAGCATTGAACTGGAGGATGGCCGAAGAATTCACGACTGTGAAGAGTATAAATATCTAAGAGATCGGTTAACTAAGGACCAAATTTTGGATCGGGCTGTCAAAGATCAGTATGTGCAAGGCATTAAAGCAAATTTAAAATAATTACCAGCACTGCAATAGAATTTATTCTTGGAAAAATATGCCCAGGAGATAATTGCTAGGGGATAATCGAAATTTGATCAGTAATTGCATTTGTCATGGAGAAGCCATCTTGTGTTAAAGGAAGGGGAAAAAACCATCCTGATATCTCAATCAGTTTAGTAGTTTTGGTTATCAAAATAATTAAGTGCCCTCTTCGCAAAATAATAAAGTCTGAAACGGACAAAAGCGTTTTGTACCATCGAGTAAATCATTCATTTATCAATTTTCAGACACTATTCATGAGCTATTTGAAGCAGCATTCATCAATTATAGATCAACTGGAAAGCAAAACCTCTCCGCATGAGGATTGGAACCTGTTCCAAATGTGTCTCACTTTCTTGCAGTCTCTCGGTAAGAAAAGCATCTGTGAAATATTTTCTCTATTCTCTTCTCAAGGACAGTTTCATGCATGATTAGTCAATACTATAAACAAGGCAAAAAGAAAAGAAGCAGATAATATAGTAGGACTACGGTTTTGTTGATTAATGTAAGAATTTTATTTTAATAAAAACTTAGCTGCGTTTCAAAGTATTTATTTGATTCCAAAATCAGATTTTTCTTCTAAAAAAATTGGACGGAGTTAAACAGAAAGGAACCAAGCCACATCGGGATCGAACCGAGAAAAAGAGGTTTAAAGTTTGGCTCCTGCATAAGACTCAATGTAAAAGATAAACTTCAAGTTCAATTTCTGCAAAATTTGCTCCAACAAAAACTTTGAATTTTTGGCGATAGATAGTAGAGCAGTGGTTGAGTTCAAAACCACTCATAACTCAATTTTTTCCAAAATGTGGGTTGGTTCCTTTCTGCTTAACTCAGTCCAATTAAGTGAGTCGTGAGCTCATTAATTTTTCTATCGCATCCACTAATATGGCCTGCTTTGTATTAGCAAAGCTAATTATTTGTTGTTATTGCAGGTTTGTTATTCTCATTAAATGTAAAATACCGATTAAATCACAGCAGAAGAAATGGAGATACCATTACCGTGGAGAAGCATGCAAAGTGATCTTTCTTCTGCTTGTTCTCAGTTCAAAATTTCAAGTTCTTAATAGCCTCCAGGAGCTCTTCACAGATAACAATTTCTTTCATGGAAGCTTAAATGCGTACTAATTTGTTGTGTTCCTGTATTATATTTCAGTGACCACTTACTAATTTATAAGTTTTTGTTGCTTTTTAGGTGAGTTCTTAAATGAAATAAAGCTCTATGAGAAGGATTTGAAGTCTAAAATTACCAATGCGTGGAAATCAGCTGCTCTTGAATCATCTAGGTACATTACCTCTGAATTACTGCGGCGCAAATTGGAGCAGCAGATTTCATCCCTCGAAGATGGTAGGTATACTCATACACTATTTGCTTACATAAGCAAGGAGGTGAGCAAGCTAAATTGTTGTTAAGTAAACGTAGTAGTAGCAAAATGGAAACAGTGAAGTAAAATCAAATATGAGATATTAAAGCATCTGGAAAGGTTGTGGGCTCACTTAAGCTTGACAAATACCACTAATGAATCGATCATTCTCAAAAAGACATAAAATCGAAAATTGAGTTTTTTGTGGTTCGGTATTGATTAGGCATAGATGCATCCTGTTACAAAGTCACATTCAGAAAAACGGATTTTTATCTGAAAGATTCAGTCATTTGCAAAGAATCAAGCCTCTATTCGTTTTTTTTTCTTTTTGATAAAATTGCCAGAAAATTTTTATAACAACCATCGTCCGATTTTAAATCGCGATCTTCTCAGACATTCATTTTTCTGACCACTGAGACTCAAAACGGGTTGATCAAAACAGTTTTCACTGTTCTTCTCAAATTCTAATTCCTGAGGCTTAAGTCTTTTTGAGAAGAACCGGTTCAAATGTGATTGTTTACAGCAGTAGAGACTTCAATAAAACGGGTGGATACTTCAGGAGAATTTTATCAAGTTGAATTGAAATTCGTTCGTCATGACAGAACCAACTCACAATCGGTCTAGGAAATAATTGCCCAGTGCTTTCAATCTTCATGAACATAATTTTCTTAGTATTTTAATATAACTTTTCTTACAGATCCTGATGCTGATATATTCAGCGATGTATTAAAACAAATTGAAGAAAATTGCAAAAAAGTTCATAGCATCACTTACAAAGTCATTTTCTCCCCCATTGCTGAGCAGCTGAAGCATACAAATGACATTTGTCAGCAGTTCAGAGAATCTACCCAAGAACTTCCTGATTACAGTTATGCCCCTCAAGAGTACGTCACTCAGGTAAGTCAATGTTATCATCCTCACTTTGTGACGTCAGTCCTTTGAAAAATGTTCAATGTACTTGTAGAAGTAGAGCAACCCCAACTTGTACGGTAAAAATTAACTTAATCTGCAAAAGGCTGCAAACAACAGAAATTATATTGAAATCTGGGACGTTTTAAGATATTTTACACTGTCATTTTCACCTGGCAAAGCAAAATTAAAAAGAGAAAAGGTAAGGAAAAGAGCATGTGGTGGTCGACAAAATTTTGTATAAATGTCACAGGCAAATAGTAAAATCAGGCATTTTGTCAAGTGTCCGGGCAGGTAGTCAAATATTTACTCTTTGATTGAAATTCTGATTATTTTCCTAATTTTGGATAAAATAATTCATTCCTCTCGTGAGGAAGAATTGTCTGTAAAAATTTGCATCCCAGAATAGTATTTTAAACAATTTTCAGCTCCTGAGTAAACATTTATCTTGAAATTTTCAGCAAGTCACAGAACACAGAAATCCTACAATTTTTACTTTTAAATATTTAAGGATCATTTGAAAAGGAAGTTACAAGAAGAGTTCGTAGATTTGATGTGTCATCTCTCTCAAAACATTGAATACTCGTGAGCTCTTCGTAATATAAATTCACAAAATTTTGCAAACTGTCCTTTGAAAATTTACCCAGGCGTTTGATAAAATGCCTGATTTGACTATTTGCCTGCAACATAAATATTTGCTCATATTTTGTTTCAGATCGGTGAATACCTCATTACGCTACCTCAACACTTAGAACCATTTTTACTGAGAGAGAATCCTGCTCTCGTAAGTGCCTTACGCTTGGCGGACTTATCTTACCAAAGCAATCAATCTGCTGACTCAGCCAGTATCCTGTTAAACATGGTTGCTCATGGCACCTGTTCTAAGTACAGCGATCATATACTCTCAATAGATGAGCTTTTGTCAAGTCATTGTAAACAACTCGTTGTAGACATTGGTAAGTTTTTCCTCTTTTTGTGGTCTAAATTTGATGAAACTCCTATCATATTCACACTCCAAACTGCAATCATAACCTTTTGAGTCCACATCACATAAGTATGCCCACTTTTAGACAGAGACGGAAGATCTGTCTCCATAAGTTCTATGATTTCTTTCAATGTTAAGTGCAATGATGACAGCACAACTTTCGTCTCATTTTAATAGCAGATTAACTTTTTTAGCATGGGCTCGATTACTTATATTTTGACACCAGAATTTCCCAAGTATCTCAAACATAATTTTTGAAGCTTATCTGCCAGAAAGCAGAGTCAAGAGAAAAGGCTGTCTCGAGTTTGAATTGGACCAGGTTAATCAGGAATGCACCAATCGAGGTTTAGTTCGAACGAAAAAGAGGTTTGAAATTGTATTCCTCCTGAAGATCCAATGTTAATGACATTTAACGACTATTTTCACGTTCAAAATATTTATCCTACTTTTTGAATTTTTAAAAGGGGATTTATGATCAGTTAAATTCAAAACTACTTCTAACTCATTCATTTTTCAAAAATACAACTTTATGCCATCTACTGGCAGAACAATCAACTAAACCGAGTGCACTTTATTCTTTGGCATACTTATTTATGCTCACCTCTGAGAACTCAAGTTAGGATCTTTTTTCATCAAATTTGCAGGAAGTCACCCCTCTAAATGATTTTTGCTTATGTACAATTGTGCAATGCTCCTTTCTCCTATCATGACCTACATTTTATCCTTGTTTTCATCTCTTGGTATGTTTTTCCTTTTTCAGACTATCTCGGGAATGTTTTGGAAGAGCTAGGCGTTCACCTGACTGAAACCTTGCAGCAAATCAAAACACTTCTTGGGCTGTCTCCTGAAACCTATAAAACAGCTCAGACCATGGGCGTGCCAGCAAAACTTGTATCAGCAATTCGACAAATGAGGAACATTGCATCCACCGACTCAATGGGTTAGCACTCTGTGGTGAACTCAAAAGCACCATCTGACTCTTTGCTCTCATCAGTTCTACCCGATCTCAGCTTGTTCTTGACGTCAGAGCGAGTAGTTTCTTTACTGCGCAGGAGAAGTTGTACTTGTGATGTAATTGAATTGAAATCCATCACTGAAATAGCATGTTCTCCCATTTATTCATGGCAGAATGAGATAAGAAGCAGTTTTACGATGAGGATCGTGAGGTAACCTCACACCTTTCGAGAGAAACTGCTGTACAGGGTTGTCACAGTCAGGACTTACTGGGAAAATTCAGAGAACTTTAAGATGTCAGAGAAAACCTGGAAATGATAGGGGAAATGACAAAAAAGTCAATTTGTGAAATCACCTTTATTTGCTTGCTTGAATGGCTTTGATGTTACGAACAATTAAGTTTGCCTGAAAACTATTTCTAATTATGTCTTTTTAACCATCTGGCATATTTTCAATTGTCAGGGAATTTTATCAAAATGTGGCAGGGAAATTAATTTTCTAAATTCTATGGCAACCCCGACTTTCCTCATCTCATGTTTTTTAGCAAAGAAATTACCTTCCGGTTGAAAAATTATCTAACATTTTTTTGTTCTTTTTTTTTCATAAGATTTTATTGTTGATTTTTTTAAGGCTAGTTTCTATCATTAAGACGGTTTTCAATCACACAAAGGAATTTATGATTTGTTTTTAAACATATTTTGTTTTTGTATCATGTTTTATTTTATTTTATTTGTTCTGCAATCCAAAAATTCCAAAAGGCCTCGGATTTTTTTTGTAAGAGGAATTATTTGATGATTCTGCACTTGTTCACAAGAGACAGGACTTCAGAAGACAGAAGTTCTTCAGAATGATCAATATTTAGGTGATGGAGAATCCTCTCTAATATCTTGGAGACTAAATTGCACATAGCTTAGTTCATATTTGAGCCAATGAAATTGTATCGTAATCTGATGAATTTGAACCCTGAACTTATCAGATAGGTGCAATCAGCTTTTTTCTAGAGGAATTATTTTTTGAATTGCTAACTTCCAACTGCCACGATTTTGAATTAAATAATTCAACAATTTTGGACATTTTATTGTATGCTGTAATGTTTGTAAACTCCCTGTCCAACTGTCCTTTTAACTGCTGTATCAGTGTAAAAAAATGTGTCAATCTTAAATTTTTTGATACTAAGGTCTCTTTTTTGTTGACCAACACAGTTGAATCATATAATAATTCGAAAACATGATATCTTCTTTGTTCTATAACTCTTGTCTAGTTTTTAGTGTATTTTCCGAAGGAAATACACTATTGCATTCTCCCATGATGTCGGACCCAGACCCGAGACCTTGTGAAGAGCATTGATCACGGGTCGTAGATCACGAAAATATATGCCATTCAAATTCATGTGTATATATATATGTATGCATGTATGTATGTATGTATGTATGTATGTATGTATTTCCGCCTTTTGAAGATTTTTCGATTTTTGAGTGGTTATATCTTTCTTACGTTGAAAGATATTTTGACCAATTTTTTTGCATTTTGTAGAGACTCATTAGGACTACTATTCTGCGAAAAAAAATTGAAATTTGAGGCAATAGATTTTGAGGGGTGGGGCTCGAAAGTGGGGGGAGGTGAAATCTTGTCCACTCGATAACTCGAGCGAAAATGAATATTTTGAGCTGAAATTTTTATAGGTGGTAGTTCTCCCCTAGGACTGGTTTGGTATTGAATTTGAGCTAAATCGGCCGAGCCGTTTAAGAATGGCGAGCTTTGAAAGTTTTAGGCGAGGGGTGCGCGGCATGAGGGGAGCCGACCGGAGCAGGGCCGCACAGTGGGTCAGGGGAGAAAGTTTTTGGACAAGCTGATCGTCGCACAGTGGGTCAGGGGAGAGAAGTTTTTGGACAAACTTTTCATCGCACAGTGGGTCAGGGGAAGGAAGATTCTGGACAAATTGTTCGTCGCACAGTGGGTCAGGTTAAATGATCTGTTCTTGAACAAAATCTCACCATTTAACCGTCACAACCTTTCGCAGCGCGTTCGCTGGCAACGTACTGTGCTGCTCTTATGCCTCAAGAAATTAATTCATTCCCTTACAGATTGATCCCTCCCCCCCCTTCGGAAAATACACTCTTCCCGCGGTGGACGCGCGGGTCGCTTAAGAAGACAGAACAACTGGAATGGACACTCAAACTAAAAAGCGCGCGCGAAGCGCGCGTCTACAATACGCGCGCGAAGCGCGCGTCCTGGGGGGGCTTGGGGGGGCGAAGCCCCCCCAAAAAACCGGCGCGGAGCGAAGCGGAGCGCCGGTTTTTTTTCTCTATTTGTCCGACCATTCTAATAACTTTTTTTCTATTTTGGTGACTTAAGCAGCTGCCACAAGTGATAAATGTTAAACAAAATTGGCTGAAAAGTCGTTCATGTAGAAAATAAGATAACATCTTTTTGCATCATTGAGCTTCCTTGAACTGGACTCCAAACTTTTGAAGTTCTAAATGACAAGGAAAAAAAATAAAAATATCTAACCACAGGTATTCAAAAACTGTGACAATTTATTTAATTTTTTTATAAAAAAGTAACAAGAATTGCTTAAACAATAAACACTTGCTCGGTGAATTTACTTAAAGAATCAAAACATTTTGGTACACACTCGTTCAAAACAGCAGATTTGATCGAGCAATCCACTATAATTAGGTATATATAAGCAATGACCCTCCAATAATTGACGATCGGAAGCAATATTTAAACATGATGAGAAAGTGCATCCTTAGGACACATTTTCTTATATACAATTCAGTGGAAGGGATTCAAGAGCTACGTTACATTAGAGAGGAAGTCATACAGAAATAATGCATTTCCTTAAGTAGTGTCAGGACCATCTTCAAATAGAACACTTTCCTTGGCCTTTTTGTGCAAGCATCAATTCTGTTTCTTCTTGGAAAAGATATCAGTGAACAGATACTGATACTAAAGAAACTTTTTCCTCTCTTCCAATTTTGATCATATAAACAAAAAGATCGTACATAAGAACAAAAGATGAAATGGGAATTGATAAAAGCACACAGCAGAGTTCCACCGGTACAAATCATGAAAATTGAACTAAAACTCACCAGCATTCATAAATGAATGGAAATTACAAAAAGCATAGTTAAAAGAAAGTAGACTCATTCAGTTGGTAATTCCTTTTTAAAGTACAGCATCGTAGACTTGACTTGTGGAGTGACACTCTAGAAAAATTTGGTTAGTAAGCCCAGACTAAGTTGAAGAATTTGGCTGTTTTCGTACTGGGCGCATTAATTCTGCATGACACCGACTTCGTCACATGTGTTACTCTCTGACTTTTGCTCAGCCATATCCGCACTGGAGATGCCATACTTTTACAGTTAAAAATAAGTAAGGAATTTTATCGGTATTAGATTTATGAAAATGTATACAATGTAAAAAAAATCAACAAACTATTTTCTAATTTGAATTTTGGAACATCGATTATAAATGCGAGAGCTCCAAAATGAAGGAGATAATTTTCTAATACTGTTTCACTTCTCAGAAGTATGGCTAGGTATTTCGGACGTATGTAGATACAAATTAAAAATTATTTAAAAGGGAGGGGGGGACTACAAGTACTCTCGTGTTGGAATGATTGCACCAGATATTAGGGAAATACCTCTGAAAAATATTTGAGGTATTATGAGAACTCACAGCAGTTATCAGTCTTTAAACAAACGAGTGGCCAGTGATATAAAATGACAGAGGACCCAGTGGATATTCCCAGCAATTTATACAAATTGTGGCAGTAGAATTAAATTGAGGTTTCTGCGAGGAAAACAAGGGGACCCTAACCCTCCCCCCTTTCTTCAAAAAAATTGGTTGCTTAAATGAAGTGATTTTATTTATTTTTTTTTTTTTTAAAAAAAAGTTTAGAAACAAAAATTAAACTAAATTTTAAACATTTTTTGTAAACTTATTTGCCTTGTTGATTACTATGCACAGCACTTGCTACATCCGCAGACATAGTATTTCATTTTGTCTAATCCCTCCATAAAGAAAACATTTATAGTCAACGCCACAAAAAAAGGTATGCAAGGGGGAAAGCAACTAAAAAAGCTATTATTTAAGGGTTGAAACGCAGGTTCGTTAACTAATTTAAATGACCCAGGTTTACCAAGGCGAATCAACACTTAAATAATAAGCAGAGTTGTTCACCGGACTGAGCACTTCATCCACCACTTTTCAGGGCAAAAACTATAAGGTAATGATATGTCTTACAAAGGAAAAATTAATCCAATTCAGGATTATACAACCAGAATTCTATAGAAAAGGAATTTTTCCTTCATATTTAAAATATAGGAAGCAAATTAAATCGCCATCTTATCTTCTGCTCATTGAATTCCTGTAGTAAAACACCAACAAAAATTCTGAGTGCATAGTGTTTGAAAGGAACCAAGCTGTGGTTCTTCCAAAATAACCTGCTTCCCTAGCTTCCGCAGAAAATGAGGAGCCATGGGAAACATTCTTTATATCAAGCGATAAAAAAAATATTCATATTTCTAGCTATACAATGTTTTCTAAACTCGTTGTCAGTATAATGAAGGAACTCTGTGTAAAAGAAAATTATATCTAATGTCATTTTTACACAAAAACTGCAAAACAGAGGTTAAGAGATGGTAACAACTGAGGGAGGAAAACTAATAAAACTTTTTAAAGTTACGTCTTAAACCTGTCTTTTATGTCTCAAACCTCTGGACTAGAACAGTTTTTATCTTTTGGATGGAATTAGAATACCCTCTTAATTTCTGAGGATTCTAAGGTGACAATTGTCTAGCTTTAACACAAACTCCAGGACAAAGAGTAAAATTTTAGACACAGTTTACATACAACCATTTTCAAAACATATTGAGTAACTGCGAAAAATACATAGTAGTCATGATCCACCTCTACTTGATTTCCTCAAGGGATAAACTTTGAGACAAAGAACGAAAAATTCATGGTGAACTAGCATGTTCAATTTTTCTATTCAAACTTGACTGTCGGTAGAAATTTTTTTTTCTTGTTTCATGAAATTAGGAGGTTGCTTCGTAGAAAAATTTAGGCGATGAAGACTTTCAATTAAAATCTTCATTGCTTGGTCAAAAATGAAACTCAAGTTTTAATGTCAAGCAATTTAAATTAATTTGAATGCCATTGCTACTGGAATAGGAAGACTCTGCAATGTAGACATGTTGGACATTATTCCGCGTACTTCAGTCTACAATTTTTACATGAACACATTCATAACACCTTAAAACGGTAAAAGGAAACTTTTATGATAGACCCTGTAATTTAGATGAGAAAACCAACTTTACACGGTAAATAACTTAGACATAGTTATTTTTTCAGAATCTTCATTCAGGATGTTTCTATATTTTTGGTGATATCCAAGCTATTCCATCCCTCATCAACTTGCTCCGAATACAAACTTTATTCACCAACTTTATCATGCTTAAGGTTTTGAAAAATTGGGATTCTTAAGGGATTTTTCGGTAATAATTTTCAGCAACTGCTTTTAAGAAGTCCCTACCAAATTCTAAAGATTAAAAGAATCAAGGGAGAAAATTTAAGTTTTATGGCTTACAGATGACCATCCATTCCCATTCGGCATTATTTTATTTCATCATTCATGTGTTTATTATTTTTGTACGAAAAAGAATCAATCGGTCCGAATGACTGAGACATAAAAACATCACTTTTCATGAGAAGTAAGAGTGCTTTTGGAAGCTACTTACTCCGTTTGATGATTTTATTACTTCCTCCGTTTGTTCAGTCCTTGGTTATTCAAGTTTTAGAAATTGTGGTAATGACCATCTCAAAGTAGAGCTAGTGCTTTCAAGGAGGAATTTCAAAAAACTTGAGTTTTCTCAAGCTTCCGCATGAGAGAAATAAAAAGTTGAGCTTATATTCAACCAAATTTAACTAGGAGGGGTGGAATTGCCTTAACAAGAGGTATTTTCTAAGACTAGAGAAGGATTTTTATGATGTAGTTCCTGGAAATGCTCAAAAGCTCGGTGAAATAGATTAAAAAAGATACATAGGTACAGAAAGATACAAGACTGAACGCAAAATATTGCATCCAGAATGAAAGAGAGGGTGCTTTACACAGGGCCTGATATCATGAACTTTTGACAGGGCTGGAATTTTTTTCTACTATCCTTCGACTCACTTGATAAATTTTTTCCAGGTGCTGCAGACGTGGTTTAGTTCCTGGAAATAAAATTTCTAGTTTATCCTCTTTCCCCTCTTCTCGTTTCATGAGAGCAAGAACGAAGACAACTTTTTGACATGTGAATACCTCTAGAATCAGAAATTCTTTCACCATCTTCCAAGGGAGGAACGTGACAATATCGGGTCTGAGTTTGAAGGAGGTCATCAGCTGAATTCCGATAGGAGCAGCAATGATCAGAGTTTCAGCCGAAACACTGAAAAGCAGCGAGTAAATGATGAAGCTGAATGAGCCCAAAGAAGACATCCACAGACAAATCCACCAAAAGGAGAAGAAATCTTTGGCTTTCTTTTCGCCATCGAACGAGCTATAGATTAGAGATAAAGATACTATTAGTATAAAAAATACGAAATAATCAAACCAGCTACTAGCTGACACAAGGGTGAATTGGGCTATTTGGTCATCCTTATGATCGCAGAGGAACTTCAGTTTCTTCATTATTACACTGTATTTTTAGTTTGGGACTCATCGAGCACACTCAATCTAAGGTATCCTCGAAGAAAGGCACAAAAATAATAGTTTTCGACGAGTATTTAGATCGGAAACCACTCATACTTGCGTTGATAACGAAGTTTGATAAAGTTGATGTTGATAACCTCAAGAACGTAAACGTAAACAAAGGACTGTAGCGCTACTCGCAACCAGTGGCTATCTTTAGAACTAAATGAATACCATGTTGACGTTCATCATTTTGAGGTTAGGTCTTTTCATGTGTCACATGGTGTAATGGACAATGATTTCGTAGTTTAATTTTCTCTCGTTCAATAAGTCCACAACTGTAGTCGACATGGCTGTCAATAAAACTGAAGCTCATCGTCCGGGACCTTACAAACAATCCAACAAAGCTCACAAAACTGGACGTCACCGTAGCAAAGGCCAAATAGATGCTGCTGTCAAAGGTAAGTGTCTTCATAATCCAGGATTCCCAATGATCTGTTGAGGAACAGATGATTATAATATGATTTATACAGTACTCATGATAATTGGTGAATATGAGACTAACAAAATGTTTAAGAATAGCGACTACACAGATGCGCAGGTGGCTGTGATGACATGACTGAGCCGGTATCATACGATCCAAGAAGAGCTCTCAAAGTGGCGTCACGCGGGGTCACAAGACCCTCCGTTGCCCTCAATGATTGTCGGCCGGACAATCTTTGAGGGTCATTTGATGCCTTTTATGGAGCTCTACTTTGATCGTATGACACGGTTTTGCCGTGCCTCCAAACCAACTTTAGTGTAATCAATGCATGCTCTTGCCAATCCCTTTGGCCGAAACACAGATTTTTGTTGCTGCTTCCAGGGTCATGGCAAAAGTTTTGAATTTCAACAACTTTGCAGTCTTAGCTGAATACAAATAATAAGACTGTCTGCTATCGATAAAAATGAAGTAAGAAGAGTATCATTTGAAGCACATGAAGTTTCATTCCTAACACATTTTCTTAGACTTATTTGTTCATTTTTATTGACAGCAGATGGCTATATTTGTTTTCAGCCAAGACTGCAAAGTTGTTGAAATTCAAATCTTGCATCACGGTTCTAGTGACAAATGAAAATCTATGTTTCAGCCGAAGGGGTCAGAGAGAGCATACGTTTCACTTACCTTGCCCCCGACCACACTTGCTACTAATAAAAAAAAACTCAATAGATGCATGCAGCTAAAGGAATCAAGTGCTGTTTCACTTTATGGACAAGATTATTGTCTACCTAGTATAATTGCAGAAGCTTTCTCACTCACTTGTGGATTTCTAATTTGAGCCAGACGATGTGACTCTGTTCTTTTCAGTGTAAGTAATATGGTCTAATGATCATCAGATGAGTACGCATCATGTATATCTTTATTTCACTTTTTTCAGGTAAAAGTGTACTTCATCATGCAATCAAAAAACATACAAAGAAGCAGAAGAGGATTGAAAGAAAGAATATCGGTGTTCAGTTAAGAAAAAAGAAGGTAGAGGAGGCTTGTTTCTTGAAGAGACGTGGTCCGAAGGACCCACCCTTCTTGATTGCAGTAGTTTCCCTGAATGAGGTGTTAAGCCCTTTCAAATTGCTTGAGTTGTTTGAAAAAGCAGATGAAGGAGCCACTATTTCTCATTCCGCCCAAGGCTACATGCATATGAGGTAAGAATGATTTAATATAATAAAGTGACTGAAAGGATAATGTAGACAAATTAATGTGAAACTGCATGTTCTAGTAGCTGCATATTTTTCACCTAAGAACTTAATGACAAATATTTTGTTATAGTTTTTTATTTTTAATTTACTACTACTCTAAAGCTCTAGAAATGCATGAGACCAATAACTAAGTGGCAGACAGCAAAAACTGGGCTACAGGAGCACTGCAGACCCTCAGAGGATTGTAAGCAAACTGCAAGAATAAATAATAGGAATATTATTGAGGCATTGGGTGAAAAAAGGGCATTTCTTGACTGCTGTGGCTCAGAATTGCTACTGCTGATCTACATTTTAGAGAGGAATTTATTGGGTAAATTATTTGAAATTTTTCGTATTCAGTATTATGAAATCATAAAGAATATTCACCATAAGTTTCAACAAAATATATACATTTGCACCAAGCATTATGGATGAAACGTTAGTGGAGATTTTGAGACATCGCAACCAAAAATGCCCCTTCTGCACCCAGCACTTCAATTATGGGGTAGTCAATTATACTTTAAACCTGTCAAATTTTGTTTGCAATGCACTTCCATTTGAAATGGGGTTGAATTCTGGACAACGTTGAAAGCTGTTCTCACAGTTGAAATTTGATCTAGGTAATTAGAATCAAAGAAACATAGATCTGCATTTTCTCTCAGTACTTTTCAATGAAAATTAATAGTAAATTGAGGCCTAGTTATATTGCCTCATTAATGATTTGTAACTTTAAAATCTTTCTTTGCATTCCAGTTTGCCAATTATGAAACAGCGCTTTACAATAATGGCTCTCGACACCAAGGACCTATTTAAACTGCTGGATGCTCTCAAGGTTGCTGACATTGTAATTTTTGCAATACCCGTAGCAGGTATAGACGAACTAGGGGAACTTGCCATCACATCAATTTTAGCGCAAGGTCTGCCAACTTACTCAGTTACAATCACTGGTTTGCAGTATCTTCCTATCAATGTGAGTGATTTTCTTTTATCCCTTTTGATTATATCAAATTCCAGGGTTTAGAAGTTGTGGAAAAGAACTGAGTACTTTGGAAATATCATGAAACTTTCTTAGCAAGTGTATAGATCAGTTTTTAGTCACTAATTGAAATGTGATGGTAGATCTGTAATGTTATAAATTTCGATTTGTAGGTATCTCTCTAGTTCAGCCATGGAAATGAAATTATCGATACAGCTCCCCATCAGCCTTAATTTACTTTGATAGCCCTTAATTTTGTTTTTTTCATATTTAATTATTTTGTTCTGTCACCACAAAAGAAGCACTTTTTTAAAATTAATTTATTATTTTAGGCCATTTCAAATCTATATTGATACACTTTTTACTTTTTCCTTGAATTAGACTGAAGAACATAATTTTTACATACCCCATAATTTACCCTTTTTTTCCTTCTTTTTTTAGAAACATAGCGCAGCAAAACATGATATTCAAAGAAGTTTGACCCGCTGGTTACCAGAGGAGAAACTACAGTGTTTGGACAAGCCTTCAGATGCTCTAAATTTGTTTCGAAGAATTAGCGGTCAAAAAAAGAGGAGCGTTATCCAAAGGGATAGACGTGCTCATTTACTGGCTGAGAATCTAGACTTCAAACTCGATTCTGATGTAATTTAATTATCCATTAATTATTTTTACCCTATTGATTACTGAAATATTTTTAGCAGAGCTATACATGTACTAGGAAAGGAAATAAAAACTTAGAAAAGTCAGTGAGTAGATGTGTTGCTCATGAGAGTTACGTACAGCTAAATTGACTCTCTCCAGGTAGAATACCCCAAAAATCTTGATGAGCATGTTAAAAAAATCTGAAATCCAATCTGCTACCAATATTTTCTTTGCTGTTGGCAGCCAAGTTAGCCTAGGGATAACCTGATTTTCAACAAAGGAGAAAAAATTGCTTGTGGACTTAGATAGAGTATTTGAAACGTATTATTGAGACTATTGATCCGAACCTAACTCTGGAAAGTTGTATGTGCCTCTTGTACACAGTAGACTCATTTTATTCATTCATAAAAAATTAGGAAATTTTGTAATAAAATTTTTAATTTTACTGTTGTGTCAAAACTACCGAATAGCGTTGATCAACAGTAGAACTTAAAATTTGCACCACTGATTTGTTGGATACAGCTGTATTGTGCTTAACATTCCGAAAAAGTCAAAAAAAGGCAGAAAATTGTGTTACAAGCTTAAAAAGTCCGATTATTCCAAACTTCAAAGCAACTTGTTGCCCTTTGTGTACAGATCATTCCATCATTGGAAAGTAAAAATTGTTTACTTTATTTTATTTTGCGCGCAGTTTCTACCTTCCTTGAAAAACTGTTGAGGTAAAAATCTTTAAAATGTACATATAAACATTTTTTACCCATCAATTTTTTCCTCCAGTTTTTTACTTCTTCAAACAAGAAGTTTCTAAGATGTGCACTGTCACTCTTAAGTAAGTTTTTATTTGAAAAGCACGATTCTTGTTGAAAATTCAGTTCTGGGCTTGTGCCAGGAAAAAAAAATGATTTTAGAGGAATGAACCAAATTTCTCCACACTTCCATGATATCATTAGCATAGCTCAAAGTCAATAAGCCAGTAGGTTTTGCCCAAAAAAGGATTCTGAAATACTATGACTATCTAAAAAGTGTCCTTTTTGAACCAAAGTCCTCAGTTATTAGGTTTTTTGAAGTCCTTTATATGATTAAAAATTCTAATTCTAAATTTGTTGTTTTGACACAGGTAGCAAATTCTGGTACCTTGGCGATCAGTGGCTACCTAAGAGGCCAGTCTCTTTCAGTCAATTCCCTGGTCCACATTCCTGGTGTTGGCGATTTCCAGATGTCAGAAATCTGGTCTCCAGGTGATCCATATCCCCTGAGTGAGTTGGCAAAGAAAATTGAGTCAAGTCCAATTGCTCTAGCAAAAGCAGATCCAGCTCTACAGGTAAGTTCTAACATCTGAACATATTACATAAAGTCAACATATCAATGACTAACTTTGGAACCACATAGTTTGGTTTGCAATGTGGTAAATCTCTCATTTTTCTATACTTTTCATCACTCAAGAATGTAATTTCTTACAAATTTCCATCGCAACCTCAAGAGATGAGTTTTAAGATATTGTTAATTCCTCAACTTTACTGATTCTAGAATGTTTTAGCCAAAGCCAATTGATTAATCAATGGGTGATCAAGAAGTAATGTTTTCAAGTTCTAGAAAAAAAGGACAAATTTATTTGAATCCTTGGCAAAAATGAAGCTTTTCTTAAGGCTCCACTTCTTTAAAGCTGACATTTCACAAAACATGTATAGGAATGAGCAAAGACAAATCTCAAGAACTTTCAAGAACAGTATTGGAATTGGATGTCTCATTTTCCACAGAGTTTTAACTATCTTTGCTCTTTTCAGGAATCTTTGGAGAGTGAAAATACACCAGACCCAATGGACGCGGAACAAACTTGGCCAACAGCAGAAGAACTTCAACAAGCTGCAGAAAATAGGAAAAAGAAAGTTATCAAAGTTCCCAAAGGTTTCTCGGAGTATCAAGCGGCCTGGATCATGGAAGATGCGGAAGGTAGGAGAAAACGCTCCTTTGCCTAATTAATCTATTTTCAATTGTATCATAATTGGACAGACATTTTCCCTAAAAAGTCTCCCAGAAAGTCATTCCTCTCCGTAGGAACTCGAGAAATTTATTGTGGTCAAGATGTAACCATACACCAAGTTCCAGAAGAAAATTTCAAGCCATGTGAAAATTGGGATGTGCTTTTCAAAATGGTTTTGCTACCTGATACATTACAAACAAGTTGTTGCAAAGTTAATTGAAGTGATTTCTTTACTTTTTTTTTTTTTTTGTAAACAGAAGTTGAAGAAAGCGGTAACAGTGGTGACGAAGATGAGGAAATGGAAGTTCCAGCAGATGATGCCGATTCAGACGCAAAGTCTGCAGCCTCAGAAGAAGAGTATGACACCTTGACTGTCACTTCAGAAGCGCCTATGGGTGCTGAAAAGTATGATGCGCAAATGGACATAGAAGGAGAGCAGAAACTCCTACAAACTTTGAAAGGTAATTAATTCTCATAATTTTACTCCTCTATTAGGTATTTGTTGGTTATCAATTCATTTGTTTCGAAAAATATTTTTTCCAATATTCTTGCTTCTTTTTCTGGAGAAGTAAAAAACAAAATTGTCTCTTTGAAAAACAAACTGTTTTGCTTTTTTTATAATCAGTTTAGCTTGTAATCTTGTTTAGAAAGTACAAACATTAGCTTAGTTTAACAATATAATTTCATAGCGTTCAAGTTTTAGAAACAGCAGAGTAATTTAATTCTCAAACTCTCTTCTTCATCTAGTACAGCACTCTCTCACAGTGACGAAAGTCTCTCCACAATGAATAACCATTGGTCCCTTCTTATATTACAACACATATTTTCCTTTCCGTCTTTTAGTCCCTTTAGATCCACTACAAGAGAGTACTGTGCAAAATTAATCAGCTAGAAATATTCTATCCTCATTTCGTAGAAGTTCCATTTTCAGTTGAAAATCCCCAAGGTTTTATTATTATTTATCTCTCAAATGGAACTGAAAATAAAATGAATTTCTACAAGGAGTCATCATTTTCATAAACTCGAGAACATTTTAAAAATCATGATTTTTGGAAAAATTTTAGTAATTATTATTGTTTTCTCCTTTTAATTTCAATAGATGCAAAAACAGATGCAGCTTTTCCTGATGAGGTTGACACGCCGCAAAATATGCCAGCTCGAGTGAGGTTCCAGAAATATCGTGGTCTTCAGTCCTTCCGCACTTCACCCTGGGACCCAAAAGAAAATCTGCCATTGGACTATGCTAGAATATTTCAATTTCAGAATTTTGATAGAACCAAAAAAAGAATATTGAAAGAGCAAGAGGAGAAAGAATGCATACCTACCGTAAGTATTTTTCAAATTTTCTGCTGAATTTGAATTTTGAAAGTGCATCAACTGAAATTTTGCTCTGAGGAAGGGTACTCTTAAGTTGTCATCTAACGTCGTATTACTTCGTACGTATCAAATATTTTTCTAAGAATAAGGAGGGGTATCGATCAGGACTGTTTTTGGGCGCACTGTAACTGAATCTCCTCAACTCTACTTTTTGCTCATTTAAGGTCTATATTTTACTGACTGCGTAATGATTTGGTCATTTCCAAACATGGTTTGAAGGCCGATTTTTGAAGAAAGTGCAGGTTTGCTGTCTAATGCCATTTTTCACCGAAATCAGTCGTCAGACCCGCATGCAGACCAGTATCAGATCTGTAAAGAGACTCAAAATGACAAAATTATGATGCATACCTTAAAGTAAACCTGAAAAAAAAAACACTAAGAAACATGACTCAAACTGTATGTAACAAGGTGGTAAAGATGTGCTGGATGCCTACCATTTTGCAAGAAAAACGAAGCCAAAAATTTCAATTAAAATCAAAATCTTGATCTCTAATGTGTACCAGTACAAAACCGAGGGAGAAGAGTTTACAGCATAGGCAGCTTGCATTGGATTATTAAGTTGAGGTCTTGCCAAGAGATCTAAAACGTTTTGTATAATGTTTTGATCCATAACCATGTTGTTCCTTAAAGTATAGACCTTCAATGAGCAAAGAATTGTGCAACAATTCATCGTGGGTCAGCCCAAAATTGGCCCGTATCAATACTCTTCCTTCCTCCTCTTTAGCATGTTTTTAAGAGGGAGAAAAATTCTGCGAAAAGTGTACCCAGCAGGGACCATTATGAAGTTCACTCAAGCAAGTGTCAAAAATTTCAGTTGCCTGCTAGCTTACTTTTCAGGTTTATTATCTTTATTTTTCAGTTAATTAAATTTGTTTGAACCAACTTCGGTTTCTTTCTTTTTTCCAGCCTGGAACATATATCACAGTCTTGGTGAAAAACGTGACGAAAGATCAGTATCAGTCTTTAATATGTCAGCCAACTGTGCTGTATGGATTATTGCCTTATGAACAAAAGATGTCTGTTTTAAATCTAGTACTGAGGAGATCCATTCTAGATGAAGAGCAGCTTCCAATCAAATCCAAAGAACCCATGGTTTTTCAATGTGGTTATAGGAGATTTAAAGCATGTCCTGTCTTTAGTCAACACACGAATGGTGCCAAGCATAAGGTGAGCAACATAACAGAATCATGGTTTCATAACACTGTATCATTTGTAGAGGACTTAACTCATCAATGTTGTCCTAGGACATGCGCCTCAAGTGCAAAACTATGTATCTTTATTGCACTCTTTTAAAACCTCTCCTCTTATTTTATTCTTTCAAAGAAGAACAAGTCAATTGAATAGCTTGAAATTTCTGTGGATTATCATGGTAAAAGAGAGGAAAAAGCAAGGAAATTTTCAAGCAATTAAGTTGACGTTCCTTAGGAAAAGTAAAGTATGACCGGAAGTCTGCAAAGTTGCAAACAAGGACATGTGGTTTTTCATGTGGTGACATTGATATGTGGAAAGACAAGTCAGTTTACACGATTGATAGAATTGTTACGATTGACAATTATTTTGATCAAGTTTTCCCAACTCTTTGATAGATTGGATTATCAGTGATGCTTTATAGAGATCAAAATATTGCCTTCTTAACATATTTTAATGGTAGGTATTACTTTTTGTGCGAAAACTTGGTTTTAATGCACATAAATAATTTACATATCCTCATTGTTTCATTTTTGCCAATTCAGCATTATCCTTGAATTTGGCAGTTGTAAATCAAACTTTTAGCTACTGTTTTATGTTGTTTTCTGATAGAGTGTATAGTGTATGCCAAGCATCTTAATTTTTAAAATCGTTGGATGACTTTTAAAACTATTTTGATTATCAAAAGGCCCTTTACGATTTAATTTGGCTAAAATCATTTAAGCCAAATGAAATCGTATTCCTGGGCATGGCAGACAAAGAAATGCGATCGTACACATGGGTTAAAATTTGTACTGTTATCTTTGTCAAGGAGGAATAAATAATCATGAAGCAACTCATTGCCATGAGCTCTCAGATTCTGCAAATTTTCATTCCTTTTCTTCATTTTTTTGCTTCAGGCAGGTCATCTCTAGGTAAGCTCACTTTTCTCAAATTATGATCCAGACCTTTTATCGTTGCAAAATGACCTTCATAGGCCATAGAGCGCCTAAAAAAGGTTACCCTCTAGTTTATTTGCATTGTATGACAGTGAGTTTGATGGATTGTTACAGAAAGATGATGAAAAACATATCCCAGTAAACAATCAGATTTTCACCGGTGTTAGGAGAGATTTTTTTTTCAGCAACATCCTTGAAGATTACATGTTCGTATTTATATTCAGTGAAAGTGTCCATTCATCTTGTTCTGAAATTTTCTTCTTTTTTTTTCAGTTTGAACGATATTTTCAACCAAACAGCGTGGTCGTGGCCACAGTTTTTGCACCAATAGTTTTTCCTCCTTGCTCTGTCTTAGCTTTTAAACCAGATAAAAACAATTTGCTTGTAAGTATCAATTTTACCTAAAGTTAGCAATCTTGTCAAATTCTTCATGTTTCAACATCTAGTTTTGTGAGAAAGGAAAAAGCAGTGTAGTCACTGTTACTACATTAATTGTAAAAACTATTGTGTAATAAGCTGTTCACATTTTTTGGAAAATGTGAAAAACAAAGCTTTAAATTCTATCATGTCTACATACTATACATCCTGTTGACCAAAATTCATATTATGTGTCTGGTGTAGGTTATCAGTCAATATGCTGTTAGAGCGGCCTTTAGCTTCTTCCGATTTATTTTCCTCCAAAGTTGGCTCATCAAAAACGTTCTCCTTCTTTTTCTTTTTTTTCTGTATTATTCCTCTAAGCATCCCAAATATAATTTCATGCCAAGCCTTGGGACTCAACTGTCTTTAAGCTCTGTATCAGCCGGAGGAAAAATTTTACTTTCACTTTTAAAAATTAAAAACACCAGGCTAAACATTTATCAGCATTCATCAGCAATTATCTTTTTTTTTTGCTTTAGGAATTAGTGGCAACTGGTAGTGTCCTCTCTGTGAATCCAGACAGAATCATCCTCAAGCGGGTTGTTTTAAGCGGGCATCCGCTCAAAGTCAGGAAGAGGTCTGCAATTGTAAGGTTCATGTTTTTCAATCGAGAGGATATTGAATGGTTCAAGCCTGTTGAGCTGAATACCAAGTATGGCCGTAGAGGTCACATCAAAGAACCATTGGGTGAGTTGTAGTCATTATAACCAATTAACATCCTTTTATCATTTATATGAATCTCTGAAAGGTAATAACTTTACCTACAGTATAAAAAAAAAAAAAAAAAAAAAAAAAAAAAAAAAAAAAAAAAAAAAAAAANTTTTTTTTTTTTTTTTTTTTTTTTTTTTTTTTTTTTTTATTCAAATAGTGACTAACATAGGGGCCTAAGCGTTTTTGTACATATCAACAAAGGTGTGAAATGATGATCAGATGTTGGTTTTATTTTTTATTTAAACATATTTTATGTAAAAATATAGTATTTTCCAAAATAACTATATGATTTGTATCTATGTACATGTATGAATTAAATTGAGATAAATTATATTCACAGGGGCATTAAACAACAAAGAAACTTTTGATAATACAGATTATCCACAAGAACAGTAATTATGGAATTCTCTGCATTCTGTTGTAAGAAGTTGTTGGAATATGCAAAATATAACACAAATCATGTTTAGACGTATGGAGAACAATAGGGATAGGGTAGTAAAGAGCTGCTACAATTCATTTATCAGGAGCGGCAACGATGAACAGTTTAAATTTATTCATCTATTCCTTTCTTTATTTTTATTTCTTTTGTGACTTTGCATCCCTCCCTCTTTTTTTTGCTGTGATGTTAACAAAATGTCTGCTTCTTTTTCCAGGAACACATGGCCATATGAAATGTGTATTTGATGGTCAACTGAAATCTCAAGACTCCGTTCTTCTAACACTTTACAAGAGGGTTTTCCCCAAGTGGACGTATGATACATCTCTACCTGCTGTGACTCATGAAATGGACACTGAATAAATTTTTGTAATTGTTTTTTTGAAAAATTCTAAAAAAAAAAAAAAATTAAAATAAAAAAATGAAGAAAAGCTCTAATGATTGTCAGCAAGATTTTTTTGCAGTTTCCTCTTTGTATTTCCGACGAAAGAATGCCAGAACAAACTTTTTCTGGAATGCATTGGTTGCCAGATTGTATTGAAAAATCAGAACTTTCTTTAATTGAAACCCATGTTAATATTTCACATTTACTCGAACAACCTGGCAATCGCAATTGCCATATTTTACCGAAAATTAGCATTATTCTCACAAGACTCGATGTAAAAAATAGTAATCTCTCAGCACAATTTGGTAACCATGTCAAAGTTGCCAGGTTTTGCAATTAAATGTGGACTTTTAATGTGGGTTTAAATGAGGAAGAGTGCTGATATTTCACTACCACCTGGAGACAATATGTAGTGAAAAGAAAATTTGCTCCTCATAGACAGCGGCTGAAAAATCACATTGAGCACATTGGAAACTTCTGAAATTTACTCCTATCTTCTCAATCTGTATACATGAGTACATTTTTGAGCTTCAGGTTTCAAAAAATGTACCGCAGTATAAACATAATTTGATACAGTATTACAGACAAATCAATTCGGTTTCAGGACTGTTCATGAAACTGAAATTGGCTGCAGCATGTTTCGCAGGTTCTTCAGTATAAACACACAACATACCAAACCTCACCTGTCTTAAATCTTCTCTTCCCTGTTATTCAAATTGAAGTTATTAAGTTAAGGTACTTTGTTGTTAGTTTTTATTTTACAAACTGTGTCACATTACAGTAGTCTTGTTAAACTTCACAATTAGTCACGAAAGCAGGGTGACTCATCCATATCACATGGATTCTTTCCCACCTATTACGTTTTGAAGTGAGGTACTTAAGCAAATTTCCTCTAAAATTGTGACCTAGGAGTGAATTTCAAGATTTCCTGATGCACCCACCCTTCTGTTTGAGTCATATTTCAGCAGAAACCACTATTTTTTTCACTCAAGCAAAGGTTTGCCAAAACTCATTCTTCTTTTCATAGATGCCTAATCATTGAAGTTTATCATTGAATTATACTCTGCAAAAATATCACAAATCAATTCTTCTTGGGTTCTCTCTCACACTTACTTTGTTAATTTTCAGATAAGTTAGTGAAAAGTACAAAGGGGAAAATATATCGTAACTGATCATTGAAAATTCAACTCCATAGCACTAAAATCGGGTTCTGATTATTTCAGCTTCTCAGTGAGCAAAATTAGACAAGATTAGTCCAAATGCTCACATCTCATGTCAAATAATCTGTCTATATATATGTTCCAAAAAATCAAAGTGCACCACATAATTCATCATACAGTTAAGTCGATCCATCATCGAAAACCGGTCATAACCACTCTTTTCTCGGCTCCGGAAACTCTGACGAGTCTCGATACCAGGCGCAATTGATTCTACGCCTCGAATTACGTAGGGATCCACAGTTGTCTAAAAAAAAATTTTCCTGTCCAATATCGCAAAAAATCGACAGGGGTCACATGGACTAATATTTTTGGGTAAAAATCGAAAGTTCTGCGATTGGGCTGAAATGGCGCAAGACCCCTTGGAAATGACTCTCCGAGTCTGATTTTTTGGTCAGAAATGTTCCACTAGTGCATAAGAACTCACAATCAGCGAAAACTGTGATGCGTGCGAAACGGTCAAGAACACTCGCGTTTCTACGCTCAGGAGGCTCCAACGAGTTACCTACGGGACCAGGCGCAATCGATTCTACGCCTTCACCTACGTCTTATGGATCGATATTTATCTCAATTTTTTTTTTTTCTGACGAAACTCGCGAAAGAACGACAAACAGTATATTTTGAGCTTACTTACCCTTAACTTTTCTCAAATTGAAAAAAAGAATAAGAGACACCTCAACGCGCGTTGATGACAGCGCAAAAATACAGCTATTAATTCACGACGGATGTCCGTGCTGCATCTGAAAAATTGAAAAATCGGCTGTATTTCTCATGTAGTCCTTGAAGCATCTCAACAAATAAAACACACGGAACTGAACACAGTATGGAATTAGAGCATGGGAAATATCGCGCGTTGATGACGGCGCGGAGATACAACTATTCGTGCTTGATGGACGTCCGTGACGCATGTCAAAAATTGAAGGCGCGATGGAACGAGGCGTGAATTCGCGATGTCCCGCTCTATGCTGCCGGTGAAAACGTCGCTCAGATTCGGAAGAAAAGTTGAAAAACGAGTCCCGATTACGTCTCTTCCATCTTCAGCTGTGTTGCTCACGTAGTCCTTGAAGCATCTCAACAAATAAAACAAACGGAAACGAACACAGTATGGAAATAGAGCATAAGAAATGTCGCGCGTTGCCTAAGTAGCAGTGATCGCGATAAATAGCGATTTAATCGGTTGATTATCGCGATTATATCAGTGGAAATATATCAAGATAATATCGCATTAAAAATCGCGATATATACAATCGCATATTACAAATCGCAATTTTTGGTTCGATAAAATCGAGATTAAATCGCCATTTATCGTGATTTTCATTTCGAAAATATCGCGATAAATTGTCGGGCGATAAAAGCGCGATCGAGGATAATCGCTCAGATGTTGATGATCCTGGCGATTTTATCGCCGATAAAATCGCAATATATAGCGATATTTCCGTCGAGAAATGCTATTTGGGTCCTTGAATGCATCTCAATAAATAAAACAAACGGAAACGAACACAGTATGGGAATAGAGCATGGGAAATGTCGCGCGTTAATGACGGCGCGGAGATGCAACTATTCGTCCTCGATGGATGTCCGTGATGCATCTCCAAAATTGAAGGCGCGATGGCGCGAGGCGTGAACTCTCAATGCTCCGATGCTACCAATGAGATGTCGCTCAAAGGCAGAGAAGTTTAAAAACGAGGTTCGGATACCTTCAGCTGTGATGATACTCGATCTTCTGTCTAATTTATCAGATCCTCTTTTTTTTAAAGTATTTGTAGACTTATGTGTGAAAGAAACTCGTGTGTATGTGTTCCATACAACTTGCGAGTCACGTGTTCAGAGGAAACCTCGCGGGTCAATTTGACCCAACTTGAGCATGCCAGTGTTAACGCGTATAAATTAGGTGTAGGTAACGGACGACTCGGTGTATTTTTAATAGCACTTTTCGTCGTTTCCTTCAGAAAGAACGTAACTACATTTCAATGTTGCCCAATTCCCCCTCGCAAATTGCAGTTTTACCAAGAGAATTTCGGGCATTTCTAAATGAAAATTCCCCTAGTTCTTCCTGCGATCTCAAAAAAAATCAGAACAATTTTGAGGGATCTTGTACCTAAAAATTAAATGTTTGGGTCAATTTTGCAATAATGGAATGGAATTACGTTCCCTCATTCGGGAAATGGCGTCTGCAGAGCGCAGGACCCTTGATATCCCTGTCGAAAAATTATCATGTTGACCCGTAATCATGATAAATCATCATCCGTGGCACCTAACCAATTTCATAGGCGCATTTTAGAAACCACAAATTTTCCCTACCGCTTAGTGTTTTTGTGATGGACGTATTTCTGTAAAACAGAACTATGTGTATTAAGACATGAGCCCTGAGACCCGTAAGAATATATCGACGGTGAAACTACCAAACCACGTATCTCGGTTTGCGACGTAGCAGACTTCCTGTCATACTTTATTTTTTAAATGAAAAACTACTTAACATCCAGTCTTGAAAATTTCTGTGATTTTTCCTCTTTGTGCGGAGAAAATTCCGTGAAAATTTCAAGGAATGATATTGATTTGGTCTACTTCAAAAAATAAAATGTGAGCGTAGATTTTTAAACACCGCAAACGAGATACGTGGTTCGGTAGTTTCACCGTCGATATGCATAACAAGCTCACGTCATAATGCACATAGTTCGTTTGACAGATATACGTTCAAATGATCTAGGAATCCAGGACTAACATTCGTTTGTTCCTTTTTATCTGTAATTTATTTTTCGTGCATTTTCTGCCCTGGCAATAACAACCGCCGTTAAAAAACACGTTTCATCATGTTTTAAAAAAAAACTCGTTTAAAATTATGTTCTTGGAAACCCTGTGTGGGTACTTTTAAAGTAAAACGTATGTTTCATGAAATTCCCGAAAAAGAAGTTTTTTCACCAGGGGTTGTCCCGAAGGTTTCCAAAAATCTGTCGTTACGGTTAGTTATCTATAAAAGGACACAAAAATGAAAAATACTTTAAATGACATATTTTGTTTAGTTTTTTACTTCACACGAAATGATGAAATTCACACAAAAAATGGAACATACAAGGCTCCTGCCGGAAATATCATTAAGAGATAACAGAACCTCTGCCACTTGAGAATTCATCCTGACCACACATTAAGCCAAGCTATACGTAGAGTTCGCAAAAATACATAAAACACTTACAAAAATAAAATAAAAAACTGTTTATTACATTTAGTTCAATGTTTTACTTCACACTAAAAAATGAGATTCACAAAAACCGGAACATACATAGGCTCTGACCGAGAGGCAAATAGGTACTAGAGATAACCGCACCCCTGGAAGTTAGGCATTCCTTCGACTTGTTGGTCCTTGGAGCATTGGGGATTGTTGCGATGGGGCGCAGCCGAGTTGCTCCCCAAGTTTCATCGCCGGACGAATGAGAGCCAATTTTTCTTCGACGTTGGTAGGTTTCTCTTGACCGCCTTTCAAATCCCTGTTCGCGTCTTGCCAGATGACCAGGGCGTTGTACAGGGTGTTCAAGGATGACTGTGCCGACTTCTCGATTTGAGTCATCTCCTCGGTGTAGGAGTCCATCGATTCTTTGCTCACTTTCGTGAAGTATTCCTTCCATTCGTTCAGGGTGTGTGGCTCTTGACTCTTCTGGCGACGGAGGAGACGTTTGTTGTGTTCTTTCAGCTTTAAAAAAGTTTTAATATTGGTGTTAGTATCATGAGCGTAACTGGGCCCTGGTAAAAATTGGCAGTAGAATCTGTGTTCCAAAATACCATTGACCCACAGCCGGCTGTAAGATTTCCAATAGCTTCTATAGCCGGCAACACAATTTCTTATAGCCTTTCATAGCCGATGGCGATTAAGCAACAGCCTGGCGGTAAAGTGTATGCTAAACGTTACTAATTACGGATGCTAGGACTTAGTGAGTTATTGGACTACCGCTCTCTTTTTGGGCCGCAGTATCTTGATTTACTTTGCGAGGAAAGCTCCGTACTTTTAAAGGATGCCTGCCATTCCTAATATGTTGGAGCGCCTTCAATTTCGTATGATACTGTGCAATACCTCCGGTGTGAAATAGTTGCTTCAAGCGCGTCGGTACGCTGCGGCGCGGCGCGGCGGGCGGGCAGCCAGCGCTGAACGCGCATTGGCGCCGTGCGTGAAGTATCCACTTAGGTTTGTAGGCGCCAGTGAGCCTCTTGCCCTGGCAGCACGCCGCGCGCCGCTCGCAGTGCGCAATGCGTGAAGTATCCCTGTTAGGTTTGTAGGCGCCAGTGCGCCGCCGCTCAGCTTTGTGTTAGGCTCTATAATTAATCTCGCGGAGTCAGTGTTTTTCAACTCATGACTTTGAAATGTTTGCACACTCTGTATGGATTATTCTCATTTTAATTGATGAAAAAAAATATGTAGTAAAGGAAAATATAATGTGCGTTTTGTAAAGATTAATAAGGTGATTCCGTACAAACTTAAGGATTCACAAAGCACAAGAATTTCTACACAATTTCTTATAGCCTTTTATAGCCGATGGCGAAAAAGCAACAACCAGGCGATAAAGTGTAAAGCCCGGCGATAAGAACTATAGCCCGGCTGTATACCTAATTTTTTAACGCTTCGTGTAGCCCGGCCGTACGATTTTTTCCACTTTCTACAGCCAGCTATATGATTTTCTATCGCCCTTTTCAGTCGGCTATAAGAACTCCTATGGTATTTTGAAACGCAGCTCCTATCGCCAATTTTTACCAGGGGTGGTTTGGGGGCTACTCTTGAAGGCTAGTGGCCCTCTTCCAGAATTTTTTTTCCACCTCTACAAATACTACACAAGAAGTGATCCTAGGTAGCGCCCCACCGCCCTCAGTCCTTACTATTCAACCAGTCCAAACCGTTGTTTGAGACCATCCAACTCGGGTTGAATAGCCGGGAATCGAACCCGGGGTCTCCTAGTTATATGAATCCTGCGTTAAAACCACCACACCCCAGGTCCTAGGAGGCCAATTCCATTGTGATGATTTGCGTCTTGCCAGATGACTCTAAGTGCCAGCCTCCCCCTCAGACAAATTGTTTATATTTACGCTCATGATAAGTATTAGTAGTGGTAACTTACTAAATAACTATGAGTAAGTAGCCCGCATCTTATACTCTGAAATATTACCTAACAACTGAGGAGTGAGGTGTCTTTAGTCGGAATCTCAAATTGTGATTAATAGATAAAAGCCGATTTCCTAAAATATTTTCCTCCTTACACCAAGGCTTGTATTTCCTTTGTCACAAGTACCAAAACATGAATGAATACGAGTAAATGAATTAAAACCTCACAGTTCCCACATGCAATTTTAAACATTTCAAAGCGTGCTTCTTGAAAGTAGAAACTTGATCTATATGCGCTTTTTTAAACATCCAAGCCCCTCAATTACGAAATGAAACTTTTTTGAGGGGCTTTAAAGGCAAGGCACATAAGTCTGCAGTTTTTGGGGAAATCGAGATAATAATGATTTCAAGAGGAAACTATAGTCTTAATGCATATTCTGTGAAAAATTCGCTCCCAAATTCCCATTTTTCAGCATCGAAAAGTCACTGTGAACTTTATTTCCGGTATAAGGATCCATGTAATTTCGAAACTTCAAACACTTATCTCTCGAAATGGCAAAAAATGCAGTTATGCGCCTTGTCCTTCAAGCCCCTTGTCTAGTGTTAAGCTTTAAAGAGTCAATATTTCTTGTCCGAATGATTATAGTGGAACTCTATTGGACCGACATCGACAATTTTTCAGCGATCTTTAGACGAGCTTGCAGTATATAATTTTGGCGAATCAAGCCCCAGGTTTTTTACCGTCGCAAAGTGGATCCTCGTGGACCTTCCCCTGGCTGCCACGCAGCCCGACCCCCGAGGAACTCTTAACGCCCCCCTCCCCCGAGGATATGTTCTTAATTTCTGACCAGGGACAAGATATCCTCCACTGGTAACTTGGCAATGGTGGAAGCTTTTACTTTCGGGTCTTCAACACTCAAATGTTGGCATACCTACTAAATGGATGCGGTTAACAACCTGTTAAGAATTGCGTTTTGCAAACAAATTGAAGTTTGGGAAACTTGTTTGGTTCATGGCGGCATCCGAAGCTCATCATCCACCAAGTAGGTTGATGACTGTTGCTCCTTTATAATTGTTCATACGGAAGTGTTGAATCCCCGAAAGTGAAAGCTTCCACCTGTCGCCGAGAGGCCGGTAAAGAGTCTCTCGTCTCTGCTTCTGACTTACTCCAGTGAAGACAGGATTCAAAGGAGCCTCTGGTGATTCAAGAGTTTTCACAGCTTCGACAAGTTCGGGGTCCGCTGGTGTTGAACTGTCAGTGATGATCTTGAAATTATCGTAGCGATCGCAGAGGATGTTCCTCACTTGGAATCGGGCCTGGGCAATGTCTCTCCTTCCCATTTTCAAACTCCTCTTCACGGCTTTTTTCACTGAAAACCGGGCGAAATAAATGGACAAGTGCGTGAATAAAATACAAATAAATTGAAAACTGTATTCTCCCAAACACGTTAGGCAGATCAAAGGGGGGGGGGCGCAGAGGAAGTACGCCCCTATCTTGAATCCGCCCACCCGTTCGCTCAGAAACAAGGAGTAAGAAAAAGGAAAGAAAGAAAGTAGTAGTAGTAGTAAAATAATTTTATTTTAAAGAAAGAAAGAAAGAAAGAAAGAAAGAAAGAAAGTAGTAGTAGTAAGATAAGTTTATTTTAAAGCGGTGCTTTAGCATCTAAGGCCTTTTACACCTCTGTGTGTTTACATGGAAGAAGGAAGACAGAAAGAAAGAAAAGAGGGAACGGCGCTTATGTTTGGTGCTTATTCATGAAAAAATTAACTCTAAATGCATATTAGATGCTTTAAAATTTCGACAATTTTCTATGAAAGTCCCCCCCCCCCCCCTAACGC